ACTCACTTCCCACACGATCATCGCGTCTTGATTAATTCCCTTGCGTCCCTGTTGAGTAAAAACGCAAGAACTCCTGCTCTTTCCATTGTTGGTGATCCGATTCGGTATAGAGACTAAGTTATGAAGCGAAACAATGCGGTCTGAATAAGTTCTCCTCCCCATTTTGCTCCCACAACATCTCATCCCGAGACACGGACGATGCATAGGCTCCTCATCGTTCCATGTACTCTTTGAGACACAACCCCCCATTTGGTCAATGCTTATGCAAGCATACGATATGAATCTGATCGCAGAGTCTCCTTTTGTACCAAAACCAGATCCCCAATGTAAATGCTTTAGCAACAACACATTTGGTCAAATCAAAGAGCTTTCACACAAGTTTCTTTATTCCTAATATAAAATTACTCTAACCTTTTCTTCGAATGACGATGTGCTCACGGTCAATGACGATGACGATGCATAGACCGTGAGCTGAAAACATTGCAGAAAAATGATTAACTGATTAGTTTATTGCAAAGTTCCAAAAAAGAAAAGCAGACTCCAACAAGTCATAAAGAAGAAACCCAGCATGTGATCTTTAGTAATAGAATACACATAGTATATAATAATACTAAACAGCCTGTCCTAATTGTTTGTCATTGAACCAGGCCTTAAGACTCTTATTGCACCATGTTTTGGTGATGGTTTCACTAATCCTTGAGAATAAATTAATCAAAATAAGAATCAGAAATGCATACAAATCAAGAACAGAGAGTTTCCCCATATACAATGTCTTATAGGCACATAAATCCAGACTATTGTTAATGGGGCAATTTGCAAGATGAAATCATGACAAATAAACAAAAGAGATCAACTTTTACAAGAATCATGGGTTTATGTGTCTGATCTTAAGACTTATTAACCCTTCACCATAATTCTTCATTATCTGTTTTTTTTTTTTATATATAATTTTCCTGTGAGAAACAAAACTGATAAATCAAAAAGAGATAATCTTTAGTGAGTTTTATACTAACCAGCATACGAAAGAAACCCTAATTGTGAAAAACCACAGATTCTGGTGAAAAGGAATTTCTAAGTGGACATCTATTGAACAGAAAATGAAACCCAACAAAAAAAAAAAAAGGAAAAAGGTGGGATTTTTAAGTGGATAGCGATTCACTTGTCAGAAATCCGATTTAGATAAGTGGATCTGAGAAAGTTTCTCATAACTTCTAAATGTAATGAATTTGAGGGAATCAAAGCATAAAGAACACACCTTTGAGGGATCATGAACAATTGAAATGCGC